AAGGAGAGACAGGACAATAGTGAAATGCATTACCTGTGATGCAAAACAAAGCATATCAAGTTAAAGTTTCCTAAATACAAGCAGGACATGCTTCAAAACAAACTTCAATGATTAAAAACCACCTGGTTACACACATAAAATAATGGTATCCAGGGCACAGTATTACATTGTGGTACTAACTGCTGTGCAATTCTATCAATCTATAAATATCAGCAGATCGTTGTGATACCTACTAGATAATAGAGAGAGACATTGTAAGCAGGTTAACGGGGATGGATAGGGCTAATGTGATCAATAGAATCTGCTCTTGGATCTGATTCATGAAAGGATCTTGCTCTTTATCCTTAATCTGTTGGGAAAGTAGATTTTGCATTCATCATATCAGAACTCATGCATTGTAATGTGAAGAATGCAAAACCTACTTTTTGCTAACCAGAAACATTTATTTTTTAGCAGTGTTTAAGTGGGTGGATCTAGGGCTCTCTTCCCATTTCATATTGCATTGATTCAGCAACAGATATGGCAGGATACTTGGAGGTTTATTCAATAAAGTCTGAATGGTAGCAATGAAATCCCCGATTGGCAACATTTACGGTAAAATAACTGAACGCGGGGGGCTGTATTCATCATCTGGTTAGTGTAAATTTACGTTTCATATTTACATAAAAGTAGGCTGATCAGGATTAGTAATAAGGTGACCTTAAGCAACAGCCTAGGGCATGGAATTAGATAGGGACACCAAAACTATGAATTTGCCTGGTGTTACCATCCTTGTGTGAAGAATGAAGTGATGGGACACACACAACATCATTAAATGGACACTATAGGAACCCAGAGGCATTGGCGTATCCAGAGCCTGATCTCGGGAGGGGCACTTGTAGATTATTTAAAGAAATATTCCAGGCACAATAACCACTACAGCTCAGTGTAGTAGTTTTGGTGCCAGTGGTGCCAGGATCCCATCCCAGAGTAAGTAGCCAAACCGTTTAAGAACAGTTTGACAACTTACCTGGGGTCTGCTGGGATATAGGGCATAGGAGCAGTGGTATGTGTGAGGGGTGAAGTGTGTGTGAAAGGTGCAGTGTGTGTGTGTGTGTGTGTGTGTGTGTGTGAGAGTGGTGAAGTGTGTGTGTGTGAGTGCATGAGGGTGGCAGTGTATGTCAGGGTTGCAGTGTGTGTAAGAGTTGCAGTGTGTGTGTGAGGCTTGCAGTGTATGTGTGTGTGTGGTGTTGTGTGTGTATGAGGGGCACTGAATGTGTGTGGGGGGCAGTGTGTGTATGGGAGGGCACTGTATGTGTGTTTGGGGCAGTGTGTGTATGGGGGGGCACTGTATGTGTGTGGGGGCACTGTATGTATGTGTGGGGCAGTGTATGCATGGGGGGCCATGTGTGTGGGGCAGTGTTTGTGGGGCAGTGTGTGCATGGGGGGGAAGGAGGGTAGGGAGGCTTTTTAATAATGTGTTTTTTTAATTTAATAAAATAAATATATTTATGTCCCCCCTCCCTTCTTACCTTTACTGAGGGAGGAGGGGGGGCCATTTCTTGATCCCTGGTGGTCTGTGGGGATCCCCTGGTGGTCCCAGTGGTTAGAGTTCACTCTTGCGAGATCTGGAGTGTTGCCATGGTAACTGCGGCAACGTTCCGTGCTCGTGAGAGTAGGACGCAAAGGAGCTGCAGGCTCCCCTACCGGCTGCCAACAATGTGCCTGCGGACCAGTCCGCAGGCACATTACAGGGCTAGCGCTTGGACAATGCCAGCCCTGCATTAGCCTGTAGGGGAGAATCTCGTGGGGGGCAATTGCCCCGTTGCCCCCCCTTCCACCCGAATCCACCACAGAGGATGTCCATCAAAATCCCCATATCACATGTTTGCATGAGGACATCCAGTATCCTCAAAATCCCTGTAGGAAAGTATCAATTAAATGCTTTGCAATGGAGAAGGTCAAATACACCCACATCTCTTGTTGTGCATGTGCATTAGGTTCCCCTATTGGCCCAGGAAGAGGAGTCTAATCCAGCATTGAGGGACCTTGGTGCTAGAAACAGCGACATTTAAAAATGTTTTCTAACCCTTTAACCACTGAGTACAGAGGCAGAGGAACACTATAGTGTTTTGCATTTCTAACGCTATAGTATTCCTTTAACCTGTTTAGGGCCCTGTGTGATCTTTATCAATTTCTACTTAAAGGACAACTCCAGGCACCAAAACAACTTCATATCAATGAGTCTTCTGGCATCTACTTTCTTTCAAGTGTTAAAATGTTTTCAGATAGTTTAACATTGAAGTGGAGTCTCCTTGGCACTGGCCCATCTTCCTCTTCTCTGCCTGTTTGTAAATGTGAAACCATTTGCTTGAGCAGCAGTGATAAGCCTGAGAGTGTCATATCATTGAGACAGGCTGTCACAGGGATCTGATTCCTTCCAACCTCTACTACAGGGCTAACAAGAAGAATCTCTGCCCGGTTCGCTCCAATCACTGAGTACCGGGCAATTGCTGGAACAACAATGAATTAGCCCAGCAATGCACCCTGTTTAACCCTCAGGCTAACTGATCACCCTGGGAGCCAATCATAGTAATGACATGATTTCCTCTCTTCTGTTTGCTTGCAGCAATATATTGGCTTGAGCAGCATTGATAGGTTATATGTTTCTGGTCTAAGCCTCCTTCCCAGTCCACAATATCTGAGTTGATATGTTTGTTACCTTCAGACACTACATTTCAGTTCAATATAAAATCTAGCAGAATCCCTTTTAACTCTAAAGTGACTACTGCCACACAGGATTCATTGGAGCTACTTTGGCACCAAGTCACTATTATTATTATTATTATTATTATTATTAGCATTTACATAGTGCCAGTATATTCCACAGTGCTTGCCAATTATAAAAAGGGGATATCTGAAAGCAAGTCGTTTACACACAAAATATAACATAGACAAGAAGGCCCTGCTCCAAGAGTTTGCAATCGACAAGCAAGGGGTAGAGACAAATGAAAGAAATAATAGCATTTCAGATGGTAGGAGGAAGAGATTGATGGATAAGATGCATATGTCAATGTAAGATAGTAAAAGTTGTGTGTGGAACAAGCAAACGGTGGCAGGTGAAAGTGGGCTGGGTTGGGGAGGCTAGGGAACTGAGGAAGGCATTTGTAATGTGTCACCCAGAAAGATAAGCTTTCCTAAAGAGATGATTTTTCAGTCACTGCCTAAAGGACTGCAGGTTAGGGGAGAGTCTGACGGTAGTAGTGAATTCCCAAGGAATAGTGCAGACTTTAAAAAAATTCTACAGATGTGAGTTGGCAGTGTAGGAAAGAGCAGATGTACTGTTTCTTTTATATCCTGGCTATTGTTAGACTATTATATCCTGCCCATTATTAGACTATCCCTCACTTTAGATTTCTTCCCCTTCTCTCTTTTGCTTTCTGTCTTTGGTCCCACATTGGACTCTGACAAGTGTAAGGGGTTTGAAGTATCAGCAATTAGTTACCTTTTGTAATATTGTAAGTGAAGTACTTGTCTTTTCATATCCAGCACAATTATTTGCTACATGGGTTACATTGTATCTTTCAGTGATTTAACTACCTTGTTAGTTCAATAGTGGAGTGTGTATACAACAGGCTAAATTGTAAACATTCAGCTAGAGATAATTCCTGTTTTCTTCAGATAGAACTGTTAGGCTCAAGACATTACATCTAGCTGCTTTCATATATTCATTTTGGTTTCATTTAATTTGGTTTCATTTAATTATATTTAGATACCAATGTTAGGGACTCACAACACTAACTTCTGTTTAGGCATCACATGACTTGGAACTTACTGGGTTTTTTCTCTACTAGCAATCGCATAATAAAGACACTTTGGGATAAATTAATGTATTAATTAAAACTCATTTAATATAAGTTGTAAACTTAATATATTGTATGTTGTTTGTTTTTGGGTGGGGAGGCAGGGGGAGGGTATTTGCAAGATTTCGCAAGATTAGTTATTTTTACATGTCATATTTTATGATTTTAAGTGTTGTTCTGGTTGAGTAAATACAGATTATTGTTTTTATTATGTTTTTATAAGTTATACTATCAGGTCACACTCTTCTTACCTCTTTTGGTGAGCTATCCTCTTCTTTCCTTGGTATGGTAGTTTAGGTTAAGTGTATGGAGTGGAAGCCAGATTGAAGATGGTCAAAGAGAGATTTAGTATCAGAGTGCTCTGAAGGTTAAGTCTTACAATTGGCCACCTCCATACTAAAATGGTGAGAGGGGTAGACAGGGACTTTAAATAAATGTAGGGGTGCTAGGAGATATGGGACCCCTAGCTATCCAGGGGGGCATATTGTTATTTGGGGGGGGTGACCAATGACCAGTTTTATCAGGGTTCCCAACCACTACCCATGTGTGAAGGCCATATTTGTTGCATAACTTCAGAAAATTAACTAACATCCTAGACAGTCCAACAACCAGGACACATAAGAATAGAATGGGGGCCTTTTCTAGTGACTGGGCAGCAATAGATGCTCAGTGGCTATATTTTAATATTTAGTATTAAATATAGTGGGCAGCAGGGGTCAACACCTATCTCACTGCCTCAGCCTGCTCTAGTGCCTGGGGGTCCAGCAGTGCCGCTACTCACCATGCTCACACACTTGGAAACTTAGAATATGTGTCTAGAGAGATAAAGCTAAAATTATTAAACTAAAACATGTGTGCATTGCATATATCAAATATCCAAAAAAAGTAACATATTTATTGTTGCATCAAGGCTGATCAGGTAAGAAACACTAAAGGTGCATTAAATGGACAGAAATTAACTTCTTATACAGCTGCGGATTACTGTTTTATTAAGTGAATATCCTTCAAACATTTGTGAAGACAAAGAAAAAAGTAAGCCTCCTGATACCTAACTTCAGGATTTACTTTAAATATAAGTCAAGCAAAAACAAACATACAAAACATCCTGCTTAACCACCGAGCCTGATGGACGCCATCTCTCAGAACTCCTTCAGGTCAATGGCAAATCTAAAGCCATCCGGGGTCCCCATGGGTCCAAGTCAGGTGAGTGTAGTACTCAAACCCTCCAGACACAAAGGGCTTCTTATTCACCCAAAGGGGCAGGAAAACCTGCTGCAAAAGTCGGGCCTACCTTGCCCCCTACTGGTAGAGGCCTTGAGGCTATCGTGGAAGTTACTCGAAGACTTCACATATCAGACACCACCCTCAAGCGAGCAGCAACTACCTGCCAGCAGCAAAATGGGGAGAAGAACCCCAAAACAGCTAGTGGGAGTACCCAAAGACACCCAAGATATAGGGAACCTGCTCCAATGCCCCTCGGGTCACAAAATGGCGGCCGAGCCGGACCCAGAAACTGACTCCAACTGCTCGACGATGAGCCCGGAGGATCAGGGGAAATATCAACAGCCCCAATCACCAAACTTATTGCAAGCTGAGGGTGATGACCTGGCCTCGGCCACTAAATGCAATATCCGGCAATTGCTGCAGGAGATGAAACAAATGTTTGACTCGGACATAGACTTGGCCCAGACGGAGATACAAGCTGTGACCACAAGAGTTCAGGCAACGGAAGAAGATATAATGGACTTACGCCAAGAGGAGTGCAGCATGGGGCACACCCTCTGCCAGTTGCAGTCTGCCCACACAGTAGTCCAAACTAAACTGGATACCATAAAGGACCACAGCAGACAGAAAAAATCTGGGGGTCCCAGATACTATCGGTCTGACCGAACTGCAACTGCTGGGCTCACAAGCCAAAAAGCTGGAATTTGATGGACAGTTTCGCATTAACAAAGGCAAGCAGGCAACCCCTACAGCCCCAAGGAATGTCATTGTGAGATGCCACTCTCTGATAGACAAACACCGCATATTAGCAGCATTAAGAAACAAGACCCCGTACACATTTGAATCCTCCCAGCTTACCTTTTTTCAGTACATTACCTGCAATACACTTCAGTGGAGAAAATCGCTGGTGCATCTCACCAATCAACCAATCAACGTGAAGCGAAAGTGGAATACAGATGGCTCATGCCTAGGACCCTAGCAGTTACTCGGGAAAATGTTGTTCTGAAACTCACCTTGGCATAGGAGGCTCCATCCTTCTTCCAATCGCTGGGCATGGCTCAGTGGACTCCGACCCCTACAACACCACCAGTTGTTCCACACCTGGGACCCTAGCAGGACTGTCCCATTCATCCCACAAAGACAAAGGAGGCAGTTACATGAGTCTTGTAGCAGCAAGAGGTGTCATCTTGTACCATTTGCTCTTGTTTATGTTTTATTCATGTTATGTTATGACCTTTTTTAAGTTGTTACAAACCAGAAATTTCAATTTAAACCTGTAGACAAAAGGGACCCTGTTAGTGGGCCTCACTTCTCTTAACGACTGATCCAGTTTGAGCATCTTTGTCTCCCCCCCATGATCCCCTTTGGTTAGGGGTCGGAAATAGTAGGCCGCACAGCATATTTTACTAAACCTCGCACACCCTGACTTAGCAACCCAGACAGTAGATAGGGGCACCCACCACTGACCCACTCTGAAGGTTTTACAACTAGACCTTGACTGTACAAGACAACTCATATGTCAACACGCCATTAGACATCAAAGCCCCTACCCTATCAGTCCACATACTCTCAGTCACACTGCACAGGAGTGCGGGGTGTTATTTACAATATAAGACAATGGTCAACTAACAAGTACGCCATAACTAGCCTTACAACAACACGACACTAAACTAAAACGACTACGTTTGATTGTTCATCTTTAAAGGGACATTATAGTCACCCAGACCACTTCAGGTCAATGAAGTGGTCTGGGTGCAATCTTCCTCAGGTTTTAACCCTGCAGATGAAAACATTGCAGGGTTAAGCCAGCCTCTAGTGGCTGTCTTCCGGACAGCCACTAGAGGTGCATCTGCGACGCTGGAGGTATATTATGCCTCCATCACGCAGAGCGTCCATAGGAAAGCATTGAAAAATGCTTTCCTATGGACTGTTCGAATGTGCACGGTGCACTTGCCGCGCATGCACATTAAGCTCCGCTGACGTCGGCGGGGGAGGAGAGGTCACCAGCGTCAAGGGAGCCCAGAGCTGGAAAAAGGTAAGGTACTGAAGGGATTTTAACCCCTTCAGCCCAGCGAGAGGGGGACCCTGAGGGTGGGGGCACCCTCAGGGCACTATAGTGTCAGGAAAACCGCTTAGTTTTCCTGACACTATTGTGATCCTTTAATATAAAAAAACAAGTGCAATGTTTTATCTGATTTACTGTTTTACTGATATGTCTTGCAACTAATATTTGTTTTCTCACAATCTACCATATACTGGCATGTACATCTTTTTATGCACTGCAAAAATAAAGAATTAATTAAATAAATAAATAAATAAATAAATAAAATCCTGCCTATAGAGATTATGTGTGATATAATTTCTACTTTAGACCACTAGAAGGCCCCTTTTCAGCCTTTGATCAGACCTAAATAGGAACATTTGTCAGTGTAAAGTAAAGGTGGTGAAAGAAACAAACACAGGTGAAGCATTACTGCTGGAACACGTTCCCTAGTACACCCTAAACATCTCAACAGGAAGAGCTGGCTTGGCACCTAGTTATCTGACAATGTGTCTGCAAAGCAGAAAGCAGGGATATCAGGATATCCAAGGTCATCAGGAATGCAAGCTTTAACAATGAGTTCACTACAACTCACCCATTTTATTTTTGTTTGATATTTTGTAATAAAACAGAAGCTATGCAAAGTATTTTACTTAATTGGAGCTTAGTTTTTTCCCCCAGAAATTTCTTATATATTTTAGCAGATAAACTTTATTTTGCTTTATCAAACTTATTTTGTGTTGTTTTTTGTAATGGATTGCAACCTCTCTGCCATCACTTGATAGTGAAGCACAATAATTTCACAGTAATTTCCTGTATTTTATTCAAACCAGGGTTTCTTCACTAAACAGTGAATTTTGATGAGTTGAAATGTTCTAAAATGTGGGTCAATACTGACCTATTTATACAACAATAAAACTAATTACATTTTTCAACTCATTTGTCAATTTATCACAACTCATCATTGATAGAATCTAATATAGCACTATTGATATTCAGGATATACAGTTATTTATAAAAAAGCAACTCAACTTTCTACTTCAGAACCTCTAATGAAATTTTAAAGCTACTTGATTTAGAAAAGTCATCAAAATAAAACTTTGCAGAAATTAGTTTTTTCCACATTCAAAAAAGATAAAAAATAAATAAACTGTAAATTGAAAGCCCTCATGGATATTTGAGGTCTACTGGAGTCACCCTATTGATGAATGAAACATCATCCACATACACAAATGATTGTGTGATAAAATGTGTAACAAAAATGGAAGAACAGAATGGATCAGGTTCCTGTCCAGGAAACTTAAAATTTTATAAATCTTCTAAATCAGGCACTCCAAAGGCCACCCACATCTGAAGGGGCAAGGGGGGGGGGGGGACAACATTTGAGATGTTTGCTCTAAATGTTGCCTGTGGTGTGTGGGGGCTCTTTCTCTGGGGCTTTGTAATTACTAGAGAGGCTTACGGACTCTCATTTGATAATTATAGTTATTAATTGTTTTGTCTAAATGTCATGTATGCTCACAATATTCAGTATTTTCCATGTCTTTATAGTTCTTATTGTTGACAAATGATTGTTACATAGAATAATCCCACTTCTGCAAAATGTTGATCCTTCAGTACTACTTTCAGTACTGTTTATGCGGATAGTTCTTATTCTTAAACTCTAATTTAACTGCATTTTTAAAATGATTATACTTTAATGAAAATTACACCACCCACACACATACTAATTTATCATTATTGTTTAAAATGCCTTAGTATTGTCATTAGCATTGGATAATTCAAAGAAAATGTATATTAAATACCGTACTTAAGAGAAAATGTGAAAATGTCAAGCTTCTAAAATGTGGGGGATGCAATCCTTAATCATTCATTTACTAAATGTAATAAAGTGTTAAGATAGATCATGAGAAAACAACTAATAACTGTGGTTGCATGAATGTAGCATGAAATATAACAATCCAAGAATCATGCCCAGAGCAAATGAAAAGTTCCATAATGGGAATCAGGGACAATGTAAGCTCTGCTGTGCAAATAATAAAGTAGATATTCATTCATGAAGTAGACGAACAGGAATGAGGATAAACAGAGGTTTAATAAAAGATGAGGGAAGGGGACGTATTGGAAGAGGTTGAGAACACCATGGGAAGGCAAGTAGGTAGTGGGATGGAAGGTGATAGATTGACAAAAATGCGGAAAAAAAATCTGAAGATCTTGAGATATTTAGGGAGAAGCTGTTATGATATGTGGATTTATAGGAGAGGACACTTCTTGTCTTTCAGTCTGGGAGAACTTATATAATTAAACAGGAGATCCAGGGATATAGTTTGCTGAAGAGCCTCTTTGATAGCCTTCCCAAAGTTAGTTCCAATGCAAACTGCAAGTACAATAACCTCGTTCCTGAGAAATTTGACTCATCGCTTTCCTTCACGATGCTTTTTCTCATTGGATTCGCCATTTCTTCTCTAATGAAATCATGTCATTTGCGAACAATATGAATTGCTGGGAATTCAAAGTGAATTCAAAATAGAATTCGTGTTTTTGGGCCACAATTGCAGCTGACTTGAAGTATATTCACTTTGAATTCCTGACAATTCCCACTTAAGTAAATAACTGGACATCTTAGCTAACACCTCCTTATAAAGTGCCAAACATTTAACACTTTTATTTTTAGTTAATGTCTTTTCACAAGATATATGACATGGGAGAAATTAGAATTTTGCCACATTAGTCAACTAAAAATAATGATGTTAGATTAATGTTACTTCTGCTTACAAGTGTAAATTCTGGTAAATATATTGACTTTCTGCACTTTCACATACATGTTGTGTTGGGGGAATCCGTTTAGGAGCATGACCCTTGGTCTTGAATATTTTGTTTATCCATCTAGTCTGTCTAAATGTAATTTCCATTTTTGTATAAAAATCAAGTCTCCTTCTATTTTATTAAATCACATTTGCAACATGTTCTAAACCAGGCATCCAGGGCAATATATAACATTCTATAGAGATATGTAGTTAGACAATGACTCTTTAATTTGAACTGCCATTAATATAATTGTGGTAATATATTTACAATTTTGTTATTTAAGACATTTATGCACTATACACCAAACTGTAATTAATTAAAAACCAAATTCAGGTTAAAATAACCAAAGTGTAACTACAGTTGATTTACATAATTTTTTTCAAAATCATTCCTATTTGCCTAAAGTTTGCAATTTGGCTTCTGCTACATTACAATCTAGTTAAAGGGACACTTTAAAATTGTGTATTTACTTATTTTAGTTTGCTGAAATGGTTTATATATTACGAGTGTGTTTGTCCTGTGTTTTAATTTTATTAAAGTGCTGGTTTCAATAGAAATCTGCATTTGTATGAATAAACTTTGTTACACCTCTCCAGCTGTCAGTCAGAAATTCAGTCCTCTTACTTCCTGGTAGATTAGCTACACATTAGAACAGCCATAGACAGTCTGTTGCTGGGGATGAATGGAAGGTATTGTAGTAGCTGCAAATACTAAGCTTGCAACTCTTGCTTTCCAAGATTTCATAAACTCCCAAAAACATTCATATTTTCTTTGTGGTATATCTGCAAAATCATTTATTTATTTATTTATTTATTTTCTTTTAGATAAATAAACCCCAAAGACTTTGCCCAATACATAC